CTGGGTTTGAATCCCAGCTCTGCCAGGGACCTTGAGTGTTGCATGGCTTTGAGTGAATGACTTGACCTCTCTAAACCAAGTGTTCTATATAAATTAAATGTATCTGGGATACAGTGGCCCCTCACTATGTGATGATTTTCATTTGTAATGATGTTTAGACACCAAGAGGGAAGGCTTTGAGAAGGAAGGTGTGGGGCATAGTGGTTAAGAACATGGGCTAAAGGGTCAGACAGCTTTGAGTTAAGGTCTTTGTTCTGTTGTACTATTTGTGTGACCTGAGATAAGTGACAACCTTTCTAGGGCTGTTTCTTCATCAACACCTGACTAGGGTTGGTTTTCAATAGCTTTATGAGTAGTTCTGTAAAATGGCATAGTCACAGTAACTCCCTCATAGGGCTGTTGAAATAATTCAGTGAGCTAATCGTGGACAGTGTCTGGCACAGGACTAGGCTTGTTATGAATGGCGCTAAGGGTGCAGGGGCAGAGAATGGGGTGAAGTGAGGCAGGATGGGGCCTGGCTCTAAGGAAGATACTATGAGACCCTTTGGGTAGTACCAGGTGAGTTGGTTAGGTTAGTGCTAAAGTGGGTGTGGTGTTAGTTCCATGCAGGGCTTTGGGAAGGATGTAGTGTGTCTGGTGTCCTGCTCTTGAGGCCCAGGGTCCAGCATAGTGACATCCCAATGGAAAGGGCTTGGGTGTGGCAGAGGTGGCAAAGGATGCGTTGACTTCAGAGGCATCTTGTTGGCCTTTCCTGTGTCTAGGATTACCCCATCACAGATGTCTGCCAGATCCTACAGAAAGCCAAGGAACTCCAAGACTCAAAGTAGCCTGGTGGCAAGAGGTCCAGGTTTGGGAGAGAAGCCACCTACCCCTGGCTTCTGGGATGTGCAGAAGCCTGTGGAATCCCCATCTGGAGGGGAAGCTGCAGAATTGGCCACACTCCAGGCCTTCTTGCCCTGGCCCCCTTGTCCTAGGCCGCTCCTGCTGGAGGCATACTATGCAGTGCTCCTTCCCTAACCACTGAGCCCTGGACCCCCATGCCCTTCAGCCCTGGGACCCTCTGCTCAGGCTGCTAAGCAAGGTTGGAGCTCATGGAGTTCTGTGTTCTAGGGCTGGGGCCGTTTGGGAGCACTGAGAGGCTGTCAAGTGTCCCTTCTGCCTCTGCTCTCCCACCCCCTTCCTCCTTTCCTGCTTCTGGTCTTCTGGACCCTGGTAGGGGGCAGGCAGTGGGCACATGGACTGGAGACCACTTCTTGTGGGGGTTAGTGGTGAGACTTCTTCATGGCGAAAGTGACACTATGTAGGAGCTAAGAGGCTTTCGGGCTGAGGTCATGTCCTATTTCTCACTGAGTGTGTAAGGTCCCTGTGTGTATGTCTCAGAGTCCCCCAGATGGCTCTGCTTTTTGTGTTAGTGTAGAGGTGAGGGTGTCTTTGAATCCCTTTAGGTCTCTCTGCTTCTGCATCTATCTCTGCCTCTGGTTCTCTGTCATCACCTCTTCACAGAGGGTGGACATGATGTTTTCATTATTTTTGTTCCCCTCTCCAGTGCTTGCCCTCTGCCCTTTTCTTTTGGGGTGCCTTATCCCTGGCCTCTTTCCCTCTTGTCCCTTCTCCACTCCCATAAGTCTGGAAGACAGAATGAGGATTCTGGCTCAGCAGAGCCCCTGGATATCAATGTTGGCCTTTGCATCCTGCTTCTACCCTCCAGTCCTAGGCTTCCAGGTTCCCCAGGCTAAGAAGGAGTGTACATTGAGAGGCCTACTCAGCCTGCCCCCATGACAAAAACTTGGAAACCAAGAGCCACTGAGAAAAAATGGAGAAGAGGGAGATCTGCATCTTTCTGGAAGTTCCCCCAAAGGCCCTTCCCTCCCTGGGGTGGTCTGTGCTCCAAGGAAAAAGATTGTCAAGAGGATTCTATCCCAGGGTTTGGGATTCAAGTGTTTCCAAAGTTGTTATTCTCTTGGCTTCCAGGTTCTAGCCATGCCTTTTGAGTCCCGTAGAGGATAAGTTGGACCACGGGGAGCCTTCCTGGCACCAGGCAAAAATGAGCTCAAAGGCCCTGGACCCTGTCAGTGTAGGAGAGTCTTGTGTTGGGGCCTTTGCTTGTCCCTTCATCCCCAAGCAGGCTGAAGGAGGTCCTGGCCCTTCTCTGGTCACCTGCTTGGGCTATACCCAGGTGTTGGGGCATGTACTCTAAGCAGGAGCAGCTGACTGCTCCCGGTGCTGGGCTGTGAGAGTGGTAAGACTTTTGGCAAGTCCCCACCCTTTTTTGTGAGGAAGCAGGTAGTGTGTGTGGGCCTGGAGCTGGGTAGCAGAGGTCTTCATCTTCTGTCCAGACTCGCCAGCTTGAGTAGGGCCCCAGGGGCTCTCTTGCCCCCAAAACCACCTGACTAGCAGCCAGGATTTCTTGCCGGCCAAGCCCACCTGTGGGCAAAAAACCGTTTCTCCCATGTGGCTCCTTTCCCAGGCTATACCTTGGACTCTGCTAGGCCTTGACACACTTGCCTTTTTGCTGCCTCTTCCCAGCACATGGTATTTGGAAGACTTACTATTTATTCAGATGCATAGTTATTTATCGCAGATTGGCAAGTGCTTGCTTTGCCAATAGTGGGTGGGACATGAAGGTAGAAAGTAGAGACGAGGTCCTTCTGTTTTTCCAAGGTTAGAGCCAGCATTTTCTTGTGCTTTTCAAACTTTCCTTGTTTTCTAGCAGGTCCTGGCTAGGAGGCCTTTGAGCTCTGTACTGGAGCTGAGTGGAAGGGAGATGAGAGCTGGTATCCTTGCCAGACTCCAGGGCGTCTAGGACGGGGCACACAGTTTCCCAGGACTTGGCAGTTTGTTTAGCCCCAACCCCCTCACAGCCTGAGGCTTGGGCCAAAGCCTGGGATCCAACAGACACTGCTCAGGAGTCTGATGCATTTCCTCTTGCCTGCCCCTGCCTGTCCACTTGGGGCCATACTAGTTGAATCATTGCAACTAATTTGCCTCCGTGGCAAATCTGGCTCTAGTGCCCTCTCCTTGAGCTTGGGGTGAAGGTCAAGATTAAGGGGACCATGACCTAGTTAGGCTGAGCTCCATAGTGGGATACTGCCTGAGAAAGGGACCTTCCCTTAGTGATCCCCTCTCCAGACTCTCAAGGGAGCTCCCCAGAGAGCCAGGGAGTGACCAAGGCTTCCTGCTTAAGGAGCTGCCCCCAGGATTTTGGATACTTTCACAGATTAAGCTGTATGAATTGAATAGGCCACACTCCAGAGGGTCAGAAGGTTAGTCTGCTTTTGGTTTTTCATCTGTTTTGTTCTTGAATCAATGCTGTTGATAAATTGTCTTCAATAAATCATGTCTTCTTTGCAGTGGGCATTGGTGCTATGATGGGCTGAAACCTCAGAGGTCTGTGGGAACAGGGAAGAAAGCTTGAGTGGGAATGGAGTCAAGTCTTCCTAGAGCAGTCTTAAGAGGCTCCCACCCCCAAATCTCCTGCCATTGAGTTGATTCTGACTCCTGGTGACCTTATAGGGGAGAGTAGAACTGCCCCATAGGGTTTCCAATGTTGTAAATCTTTATGGAGGCAGACTGCCTCATCTTTGTTGGGTTGGAATCGCTGACCTTTTTGGTTAGTAGTCAGATGCTTTAACCAATACCACCAGAGCTCCTTAAGGGTAAGGCCAGGAAGTCTTGTAAGAGCTTATACAGACCTCATTCAACCACGGCAAGTTTTATAGCTGGAGGGAGTGTGGGCTGGGGAAGGATGTGTAACATACATGGTTACATAGCAAGTTATTTTTTATATTTAAAAACTGAAAATTCAGAAACATAAATCACCTATGATCCTGCAGTCAGTGACAACATGTTAGTCATTTTAAGCAGATGTGATAATAAACATTTTCTTGATAGTTTTGTATATCAGAGCAAGCTGTATGATGAAAAAAAATTTTGACTTATATACTATCTAGTATGCTATCGACCTTACTGAATTCCTATTTCTAAATACACAATGAATTTTTTGTTTTTAACTTTTTATTGTGATTTGGATGAAAGTTTACACAAACTCATTTTCCATTCAGCAGTTTATGCACATTTTGTTTCCCAACATTGATTTCAATCCCCACAATGTAACAACTCTCTTCTCCCTTCCTTCCTGACGTTTTTCCCTGTGTTCTTTCCTCTGGGTTCGTACCTTCTGAGCTTTCTCCCTGCGCAAATGCTTCCCTTCTGTTCTTGCGCGGTTGATTGTTCTAAAGTGCACCTCACTGGTGTATTGTTCATCTCTCATGGCTGGCTGCAAGGTAAGCCACAGGGTGAATTTAATTCTAGGCCCAAAGGATGACTAAGGGCCATAGTCTCGAAGGTGTGAATATTTGTTTTTTGCGGCCTTGAATTTCTGATTAATTTCCTCAGCTCAGTCAGTCTTGAGTGCTGAAAGGTGGGAATAATTTTAAGGCTTTTCTTACATACTGTTAAACTGTTTTCTGTGATCGTACCACTTTCCATTTAAACTAGGGGTTAGCATCAGTTGCTCGCGTCTTTATTCTTAGCACTGGGTATTATTAAATAGGAAACCTTGAGGATTAAGTGACGTTTAGACCAGTCCTTTGACAGCGCCTGGCGCTCCTCCTGGGGCCGCCGTACCCGCACTGAGTTCCTTCGTCGAGATGCGAGAGAGGAGGCTGGGCGGACCCGAGCCTGCCGGCGGCCAATCGTGAGCTGACGTGGTGGTGACACGCCCCCTCATGCACGCGTCTTAAAAGGGCAAGGAAAGGGTGGCGTGAGACTGGCCGGCGAGGGTCTTGCTGACTTCTTTGTAAGTACTAAGCCTAATGAGCGTCGGAGTGGATTGTCCTAAGATATTCTTATCTTCCCACGCCCCCATTCACCCTTATTCTTACGGTGGACCCTGCGGGCCGGCACAGCCGCTTTAAGAACCTCGCGGGTCGGAGTCCCGAGGTCGCGGCGTTCGCTCCAGTCCTCAGGCTGTGTTCCATCACTTCTGGCCCAGGTCTTCCGCCATGTGGGTGCTAAGAACCAGTCTGACCCTGGCGCTGGGCGCAGGGGTGGGCGTGATCGCGGAGGGCTGGCGGCGGCGACGGCAGGCAGACGCGCAGGCAGGGCCAGGTCTGTTAGGTCGCCTGCCTGTGCTGCCTGTGGCGGCGGCGGCCGAGCTTCCCACTGTTCCTTCGGGACCGGTAGGTGGCGAGCTGGCCAAGTATGGGCTGCCTGGGCTGGCGCAGCTCAAGACCCGCGAGTCATATGTACTGTGCTACGACCCACGTACCCGCAGCGCGCTTTGGGTGGTCGAGCAGCTGCGGCCTGAGCGGCTCCGCGGCGAAGGCGACCGCAGCTCGTGCGACTTCCGCGAGGACGAGTCGGTGCATGCGTACCACCGTGCCACCAATGCCGACTACCGCGGCAGCGGCTTCGACCGCGGCCACCTCGCAGCCGCAGCCAACCACCGCTGGAGTCAGAAGGCAATGGACGATACCTTCTATCTGAGCAACGTCGCTCCCCAGGTAGCGCCTGCGCACTGGCTACGGGACAAGGGCCCATCCACCTCGCCTCTAAGTCTTGGTTTTGTTCTTTCGCAGAATGGGTGGTTGCTGAGTGCGCTCTCTAGGTCAGGCGTCTTGCTAATCACTCCGCGCGCCGTAGAGGGAAGTTAGTTCGGAATGCTGGGAAGGCTTTGCATGTCCGGGCTCCCTTCTCCAGCTGTGCAGTCGCACCTGGCCTGGAACTCACCGTTGGCCCTAGGAACCTCCCGGAGCATCAGTTTCCTCTTCCATAAAATGAGGAAATTTCTATTCACCTCCGTCTTGCGGTAGTGCTGACGAACTAAAGACAATGCGTGAAAGTAATGAGTACTTCCCAGCTCAGTCAAGCATTCAGTGAATGTTAATTACTACTACAATTGAGGACACTGAGGCTCAAACGAGGTACAGTGACTAGCTCTATGTCACATATGCTTTGAGAAGAGAACCCAGGCAGTCAGTGTACAGAAGCCTGAGTTTTCAGCCATTGTCCTACTACCGTGCCTCCTGCACACGATCAAGCTGTTAGTATCAGTCACTGCATCTTTAACAAGCTGCCCTGCCACTGGCCCCGTGCCCAGCAAGACCAGGCACCCAGTGGAAGGAGACTTCTGGGGGTTCTGGATGAAGCTGGAGGGGACAAACCAATGATTATACTTGTTATGCTTTCCTAGCACAGCCCCTACCCACTGGACTGACTAGTGGTACTGAGGCCTGGAGAGCTAAGGTGATGGAGTCAGTGGCAGACTCTATAAAGCTCTCAGCCAGGGCTCTGAACACGGTTCAGACTGGGAAAGGAAAGGAGAAATAAATGGGAGAATTGGCGTTCCCATGAACCCCTCTAGGGGCCAGGCCTCAATTTCTCCTTCTGAAAGGGAGTGAAAATCTGCCGTTTTCCTTCTTTCAGCTCTGAGATCTGAGGTGCCAGTCCTCCCATCCTAGATGGAAGGTGGGGAGGATAGCACCCTGTCAGTCCTATCAGGGTCTGTCCTCATGGCCACGTGAGACAAAGGGCTAAGAGCAGCTCTTTGCTAAGACAGTGGGAGGGGGTTTCCACCTGAGTCCCACTGAACTCCACCTCTCCTCCCAGGTGCCCCACCTCAATCAAAATGCCTGGAACAACCTGGAGAAGTACAGCCGCAGCTTGACCCGCACCTACCAAAATGTCTATGTCTGCACGGGACCACTCTTCCTGCCCAGGTGAGGCTGGAACTGGGGGTCCAGGCACAGCAAGGCCTTGCTAACCTGCAAGCTGTCCCCGCAGTGCCCCACCACTCAAACCCGTTTAGCTTGCCAGACTCTGGGTTAACACTCTCAGGTCACACTACTCATCTGGTTTCTTGACAAGTCTGCATCCCTGCCTTGGGGCTCCCCATCTCACTTCCACAACTAGAGACCTTTTCCATACTCACCTACACCTCCCTTTTCTGTCCAAAGGCACCTTGCTCTTCTTTCAGTATCTCATGCCACACTCACCCTAACCCTTTTCTGCTCAGATAGAAACCTTGCAGGCCCCTGAACACAGCAGCCTCTCTTGCTTCAGCCTCTCTTCTGCTTGGAGCACCCTCACCTAGTTGGAACTCAGATCTGCCTAACCAAGAGCCTTCACTCTAGTCCCTATGCAGCCCTGCCTTCTAGATGGGACTCAGTTCTTTGTATACTCAGCAGTTTTCTTGGCTCCTTAAGGACAGGGATGATTGTGGCAATAGGTTGTCTGCTGCTATCAGACAGACAATACTGCTGTTTACTTCAGAGTTATTGAGGGAACTGAGTGGGATGGTGGATGCTACCTGCTTAATCCAGGGCCTGGACTAGTCAGGACTCAGCACCAGGAGGCATAAATAAGTATTAATTAGCAAGTGCCTCCTATGGCTTACTGGACTGGCGTAGACTCCGCTGAGAAGCCCGACATCACTGATCCAGTGTTCTGGGTGCCTACTAAATGCCAGGTCCCATGCTGTGTACTGGGAGTTCAGCCATTACTGTCCTTGCCTACTTGGTGTTCCCCCTCCATAAGGAGAGGCAGTTATCAAATGTCATATTGGGATGAATGTGAATGTTCAGAAGGCTTCATTCTTTAGCAGTATTTATTGTCTCCTAGTCTGCCTGACCCAGGACTGGGCATGAAGAAACAGAGAGTAAGAGTTAGTCTACCCTAAAGAGGGTTCCCAGCCTTGAGGGGAAGCCAGGTAGGGCACAGAAGCCTCACTGACATAAGGTGGAGGTTGGGTCAGAGAAGGCTTCCTGGAGGCAGTGGCCCTGGGTCTGACCAGGCTTCAGCCCCGCTGGGAGTCCTGAGAGGAAGTGTGCTTGGATCTGCCTGCAGAACAGAAGCTGATGGGAAGTCCTACGTGACGTACCAGGTGATTGGCAAGAACCACGTGGCCGTGCCCACACACTTCTTCAAGGTGCTGATCCTGGAGGCAACAGGTGGGCAAATTGAGCTCCGTTCCTATGTGATGCCCAATGCACCTGTTGATGAGGCAGTCCCGCTGGAGCGCTTCCTGGTGCCCATCGAGAGCATCGAGCGGGCCTCAGGGCTGCTCTTTGTGCCAAACATCTTGGCACGGGCAGGCAGCCTTAAGGCCATCACTGCTGGCCGCAAGTGAGGGCGCCTGCCGAGTAAGATTGTGGGTTTATGAGGCTGGGCTGCATTAAAGGTGGTTATTTTTGGAGACAAGTCTTGCTGTATCTGTCCCAGGTGACCCACACAAAGCCCTGGCTTCACAGCAGCTTCTTAGATGTCTTGACAGTACCTTCAGCTGGGCCGGCCACCTGCTTGAGTGAGGCTGGGCTGCAGGGCAGCCAGGGAGATGAGGATGGCTTCCTGGAACAGAGAATGGCAATGGGCTGAGGCCTGGAAGGCTGAGCCAGGTCCTCCAGCCCCTGGCCTATCTTCAGTGCCTGCCTACATTCCTGCCCAGGATGCTATCAGGATGCTACAGGAGATAACTGCAATCCCAGTTCCCTTTGGACAGATCTCAAGGTGCATCACTAGCTGGGGTGCTGGCCCCACTGCAGGTGGCTAAACCTTGCATATAGCCTGGGACTGGAGGTGGGAAAGGCAGGTGGGCTCACCTCGGTGCGGATGGTGCGGCTGCCCTGGTTGGGGCAGGTGTTGACGTACAGGTCGAAGAGGACACTGGGTTCAGTGACCTCCAGGTTGGGGTCAGCATCCACTCCAGCTTCTAGCCCCTCTAGGCCCCCGAACACCACCAGCGCGTGCCTGGCACACAGAGAGGGGAGGGGGTTAGGTCATTGTTCCTTAAGTCTCCACCAAACACAGCCCCCAGAGCTCTCAGCCCTCATCAGCACACAGCAGGGCCCCAGTCTGTACAGGTTCCCAGTGTAGTCCTACACCTTCCCCTCAGGCTGTGCCCACCTGAAGCTGGGAAGCTGGGCGGAGGCCACATCGGAGCCTCGCTCTGACGTCCCAATGGTCAGGTCATAACCGTCCTTGAAGGGCGCCTCGGCAAACACAGCACCTGGTGGTGAAGCCAACTCAGCAGGTGCCCTGCTCCCCATCATCCACAGCCTCTCACCTCTGAGTATATACTGAGTGGGGGAGGATGGAAGAGGGACTCTAGTCAGGGAGTCACCCCAAGGCTCTCCACTGTTCCTGGCAAGCCAGGGCTTCCGCTGCCTAGGGACTGGGCAGGCAGAGATCAAGCCTGTACTAGGCTGGAACAAAGCAGGGGTGAGGGTGGGAAGGAGCCTGCAGTGGATCTGGCCCTCTTGTCCCCATTCTCAGCCTCACAAAAGACATTACTAATCAGTCACGCAACTCTCCTCAGAGACCCTTAACAGCACTCCAGGCAGTGCACTGGAGTGCCATCCCTGACCCCACAGACTAGGAGATCAGGCGAGATGGAAAGGCACCTAAGAACTAGCTGGTAGAACTCAGAACCCCAGTCTGACTTTAGGGTCCAGCAAGGCTCTCTGGTGCCTCCCAGAAGGATGAATGGATAGTTACTGGAAAAAACTTGGTCCTTACTGAGGCAGGAGGCCAGCCGGACGGTGTAGCCCCAGTAGAGACCAGCTTTGGTACGAGGGTCCTGTGATGATACAACTTTTCCACGGTACGTCTTGCTTTCTGGAAGGGAAACCAACCATCTGTGGAGGACTGGGTGAGGGTGCAGCAAGGTAGAAGGAGGTGGCTCTGAGCTCCTGGGCTGGCCAGACCACCTTGGGCTGGGGAAGCCTCCAGATACCTGGGAGCTGCTTCTGGTTCAGTCGCACAGTCACTCGGAGTCCAGGCTCCAGGTTCTTGTCAATCTTCACCTCCTGGGAAAGAAGCCAGAAGAAATGGGTGGTGTTCCCCCCAGGACTAGCAGAGGTCACTGCTCTCTGATGCCAGGGGCTCTGTGGGGGCTGGCGAGAGACTGTCCCGTTTTGCTGGCACCTGGATCAGGCCTGCCCGCAGGAGACTATCAACCACAAACACTGGTCAAGAATGAGCACCTTCTGCACAGGGCCTGGCATGGTTGGAAAGAATTATTTCATGAATAGATGAAATCTTGGCTTCTACATGTTGGTGGCTCTGCCACTTACTAACTTTAGAAATCTGAGATCATTTGATCTCCCCAAGCCTCAGTTTCCTCATCTGTCAAACAAAAACCTTCTGTAAATAAAAAGTTATTGTTACACTGCACAACTCCTGGCATGGAGTAAGTGCTTACCACGAGGAGCTATTATGAATAATAATAGTAACTAATGCTTGTGTTTTGTGCTGTTTTTTAATTTGTCCCTTTCTTCCACTTTTGAGTTTCTCACGCTCTTCCCTGCTGTGTGGTTTACTTTTAGCTGGTTATTCCTGGCCTGTTTATTTGGCGAGGAGGGGATTCCACACATTTAAGCATTTCTGCCTCTGACCAAAGAGACTTGAAAGTTTCGGTGGAAAATACTTCCAATCCCTGGCTTGGTTCTTTATAACCCTGGAGCAGCCCCAGAGTGATCTGGAAAAAGATGATTATTTTTTTTATAGCATGAATGAAGACTTTTTTGTTGTTTTGCTTTTTAAAACAGCAGTACATTCGTTCTCAGCTTCATCTTACTGAACCCCGCTTGGCACTTCTCTGGCCCACATCTGCATTAATGGGAGCTCTGCAAACAGAGATGCCTGGGTCCAGGGCTCCCCACTGCCACGCCCTGCCACCTCTCCATAGGCAGGTGTGTCCGGGGGTCAGCTCCAGCAGTGGTAGGTACACCACCTCATTCCCACCTTCTTCATGCCACAGTTGACAAAGGAGCCGTGGCCTGGCCGGGTGGGCCGATCCAGCACAATGCCCTCTCGGAACTCGGATTCCTCATCCTGCCGCATGTGGTGAGGGCTGTCCAAGGGGTTAAGCAGTCCTGTGGGTGGGGAGGGCCCGGAAAGAGTCTGGAAGATGTTAAAGAACACTGGGGACCCTGGTTCAAGTTCCAACGCTGCCAAAAACATGCTGTTTGCCACGGAGCACAGCCTCCCCCTCCCGGGCCTATTTTCCCAACTGTGTGATGGGTGGGTAGGACAGGATGACTTTTCAGTGTTGGGGGATGATCCATGGAAAATGGAGTATGGTTACTCAGCCTTACCTGCAAACTGTAGATCCTGGTGCTTGGGGAAGAATGCCTTTCTCAGGTACCTAGTAAAGAATGCCAGTCTGAGGAGGTTGCTGGTGGAGGCCATCTTGACCTGCACCTTGGCCACTCCTCACTCACACTCAGGGAAGTCCACCCTCTGTCACCCTTACTGTGGACACTCCAGGTACTGCAGGATTCGGGCCAGCTGTACACATGCCTGCCCCTTCTTGCCGACTCCCATGAATTCCCCCTCCACAGTCCTAGAGAGAAAGATAGGGCTCGAGGTCCTACTATGTTTCCAGCCTCCTTTAGCGCTCCTCCCACCCAGTCTGATCCTCTGCAGCCAGTGCCCTGCCTCACAATCCTACCCTCCAGTGATCACAGCGTGGACATTTCAGATAGTTAGGGTGGGAGGTGGGGGGTAGGAGGGAAGGAGAAGCCACAGCCAATCCCAGCAGTGCCTGGGCCCTTCTGAGTCCTGATGCCCTATGGATGGCCCCTTACTTGGCGTCTTGGCCCTCTTCGTCAAACACCACAATCTCATCCACACAGAAGATGACACAGGCTCTAGCAATCTGGCCGGCCAGGTAGGTGCGAAGCTCAGGCGACTGGGCGTTGTCCAGGATGGAGCCTGGCAGGGCCACGCTCAGGGTGTAAGGCCGCCCTGGGCAGTGAATGGGTGCTCATAGTCAGGCCAGGGCCCCACTCTCTCCTCCCTCCCTCTAGCACCAGGGCACATAGAGCCTTTTCCAACAGAGATGGGGGTGGTAGGGGTGGGTGGTTGAGAATTTTGAGATCACCAGCATAGATCCAAGTTCCCTTTCTGGGCCTCAGTCTCCCCAAAATGAAAATGGCTCAGTATTCTCCAAGGCTCCTATATACATAGCAGACCACTGGGCAAGGCCAAGGCGTTGTTGTAAGTATTAGCCTATGTTCATATCCTTGCTCTGCCCCTTCCTGCCTCAGTTCCCCAGCTGTAAAATGGGGATAATGAGAGCTAATATCTTTTCTTAGTAAGTATAAAGGACTAATCAAAGGAGCTCTTTGGTGGAACAATTAAGCACTCAGCTATTAAATGAAAGGTTGACGGTTTGAACCCACCCAGTGGATCTACAGAGGAAGGACTTGGTGATTTGTTTCTGTAAAAGATTAACCAAAAAAACCCCAAACCTACTGCCATCGAGTCAATTCTGCCACCAGAGCTCCTTCCACTCAAGATTACAACTTAGAAGCAGTTTTACTCTGTCCTATGGGGTCGCTGAAAATCGACTCAACACCACTAACAATAACCACCACCATCAAATAAGCCTTTTATGTATAAAGCTGACCCACTAACACCGAGGTGGCTCAAGCTCACACAAAAGGTGGGGCAGCTGAGACAGCTTCTGGCTTCAGCGGGAGCACACCATCTCCCTCCCAAGGTTGTCCGAAAGGAGCCATATGTCTGACACAGATGGTGTACCCAGTGGCTCCCTACACTGTTATCATCATCACTGGTAACTACCAGGATCTACAAAGGTCAGATGGGGTTTCCTGACTTTCCAGAGTTATGGGTCTGGCAGAGGAGAAAAGACACAATTGGTTTGGGTAGATTCAGATGTACTAAGTGGAAGAACACCCAGGACACAGCGTGGGATCAGAGAAACTGAGCTCCAGAAGAGGATGGGTAAAATGATCCCACTGTCATCAAATTATACTTATAAATCCTTCTGCATGTGTACAAATGGGCACAATGTCTGGACAAATTTTACCACAATGTTCAGGGGCAGTTTTTCTTCTTTATCGTTTCCAGTATCGTTTTGGGGGTTTTGTTTTGAGCGTGTATTGCTTATGATAAGAAAACGAGGCATTTTTATTATGAAAATCAAAATTATTAAATTAAAAAATGAAAAGCACCCACAAAGTGCTCAGTAAAACGGTAAAAATTATGATTACAAAGTTCTGAAGTTATGAAGGTATAAGACTCATGGTTACCCTCCAGAAGTTAGAAATCTGCTTAAATAGGAAGTTAGGACTCAATTTGCTGTGTGTCCTGGGGCAAGTCCTTCCCCATCTCTGGGCCTCAGTTTCTCCATCAGTATAAGATGTTTGGACACAGTGGTCTAAGGGCCCTTCCAAACACGACAATCTGCCTTGCCCACGGGACCCACACTGCAGGCTGGAGCCCAGCTCACCTTGGTCCTCGCTCTGCAGTGCTGCCTCCTCCTCCTCCTGGCGCTTTGCCTGTTCCTCCTGTGCCCGCTGCCGCTCAAGTTTTTTCATCAGCTTGAGGGCCTTCCACTTCTTTTTCTCCTCTTTTTCTGCAGAAGAGAACATGCTGACTGGGAGGGGTCGAGGGGGCAGTCCCCTCTGTGGAGGGTCAGCCCTGGCTCTGAAGTGCTGCTGGGTGAACAGCCAGGTGGGGGCGAGGGGAGGACACTTGGATTTTTGCTCATTATTTCGGTTGCTGTGGGACCAAGAAGGAACAAAGCTGGCGGCTTTCCCCAAGGGAAGGAGGAACACAGACCCCACCCACCCCTACACTTACTCTGCTTTTTCCATTTCCGCCACTCAATCCTTTGGCCGTGTTCACCCTGGAGTAAGAGTGGGAAGGGCATTAGGAGTGTGAGGAGGAAAAGTCCTACCGGGGAGGGAGGTCACACCTGCAACTCCGCTGCCCTCTGTCTAAACGGAGGTAATGAAGCAGTCAGGGAGCCCGCACACACTGCTGGCTCTGAGACAGCATCAGGCAGGCACCTGCTGTACCTCCTGTTAGGAAAATGAGGAAGACAGAAGTTAAAGCAAAGTAAGTGAAGAGAAAATAGCCACGACCTCCACAGATCAGAGCAGGCTTTATTGAAGAAAAGCCTGTGAGGGTGGACTCTAGAAGCAACCGTAGACAATGCCAGTTGCGAATTAGGGCTGCGCTTTAGGGAAGTGTTTGTTGCCCCCTTTATAGAGGTCTCTGGTGAAGGGCACAGGGTTTTGCAAAAGTTGCAGTTTCCAGGAAGTGGGGTTGTTTTCTGACAAGGCTGGGGAGAGTGGAGTCTTCAGGCTGATAATTTATCTTTGAGGTTTCACCAGGTGGGGGTGTGGGGTCTGCAAGCCGGAATGCATCTTTGAGGTTTCAGGGTGTCTTAGCCAAGTTTACAGTAGCCAGTTTGGTCTTTCACTTTAAACGCCTGGAACCAGAACTGGCACATAATAACACACTCCATAAGCTGTTGAATGAGTTCCCAGTAGAGAAAAAAGGAAACAGGCTCAGAGGACGGAACCGGCCACAGTCGTCCTGGGAGTCAGGAGAGCAAAGAGCGATAAACTACGAAAGGGCTTGTAACTGTGAGAAGGGTTCCACCTCCTGAATTCGGGCGCCGTCCAGGGGACCACCTGGTGTTGTGCCGGTGGTCCCAGCTCCAATGCGGCTCCCCATCTCTGGTTCTCATCCTGGTTGGGCCACGAGCATCCATGAGCATGAGGCACCTTCGGGGCTTAGGGCCTCGGATAGGCAGAGGAGCAGGGAGCGGGTGGTCTGGCCCCGCTACAGAGCTCTCACGCCCTCTATCTATTCCCGGGCGAGTGCAGGGGCGGTAGGGAGCCCACCTCTAGCAACGTACCGGGCCACAGGGTCGTTTTCCCACGCGTTCCGCCATGTTCCTCCGCGCAACACAGACCACGCCCCTGCCACCAGGCGCACCTCTTCCGGCCACACCCCCACATAATTGTCCAATCAGAACGCCACTGGCGCGCGGGGGCGTGACCTTGGCGCCTGGGGCGGGGCGGCTGGAAGTGCACCTAGGCTGAGACTTACTCCGTGGGTAGGGAGTACTGGTGGCCCAAATGGGCAGCGTGTCGTCTCGGGCGCTGACCTGGTACCTCAGACGACTCGAGCCACCCTCTGGCTCCGGACGAGCGTGACACTCAGATCACACCAGAGCTGGAATGTGATTCAGAGCTAGAAAGACCTTAGGGATAATTTCAACCAATTCGTTTATAGATTTGTTGGCAGTTCGAACTCATCCTGTGGCATCGCAGAAGAAAGGCCTGGAGATCTGCTTTCATATAGATTTTAGCCAAGAAAACCCTACGGAACTCAGTTCAACTCTGTTACACATGGGGTCACCATAAGTTGGAATTGACTGCAGCTGATGGGTTCAAACTGCAGACCTTTTGGTTAGCAGCCAAATGCTTTAACCACTATGCCACCAGAGCTCCTTGACTCCATGGCAATGGCTTTTTATTTTATTTTTTTACTCCTTGTGCTATTAGCCAGGGACACAATGGTAAACCAGGGCATATACTAATCTAACTTAGAACCTAGTAAAGGAGAGCGCATAATCAAATAACCATCCACATGTAAATCCACCTTAAACTTTTCAAGTTAAAATAAATTTCATATCAATCAAAATTTCAATAAGAAAGTATGTCTAATATGCTAAATTCTCATAAACATTTCAATCATCCCAAATAACATAATACATGCTGATCATAATGGTAACAAGCCTTACTTCTAATGCAACAAATATTAATACTGCAGATGTTTTGTTTATTTCACCCCCTCCCACACACACACACACACACACTTTTTCTTTTTCCTTCTGTACCTGCATGGAAGGGAAAGGTCAATTACATGCCTAAGGAAAGATCTACCATCTCTGGATGGTTTACTCAGTTTAAGATTTGGAGCCTCTAATTTGAATTACAGGCAGAGATTGTGGTCTGGTTCATGAAACATGGGCACTTTAGTACTATCCAAGAGATCCATGGATTTACCCTACGGAGGATGCTTTCTTACCATCAGGGTATGCATAATGTGGGAAAGGGACCCCAAGTGTGAGCCTTTAAGACAGTATTTTGGTTTACAGTCTTGACTTTGGAATAGTAGTAGGACTAGGAGTGGCATGGAAGGGAATGAAATGTCCCCATCCACTCTCCCAAGTACACATGTGATATGCACAAAACCCATGTGCTTGCTATGCAAATACAACTTCAAGACAAGTCCCCTGGCACCACGTTCCAAACAAATTCAGGAGCTACCATTGCTTCCCATTGGGAGTTCTGTCCCTAGGATCAAATTCCGCTTTCACAGATTTTGAAATTCTCACGGAATCCAGACTTTCTGGAGCCATTGAGGCTGGATGAGCCCATGAAACTACTGCCCCGGGATAATCTTTAAACCTTATACCAAAAATATCCCCTGAAGTCTTCTTTAAAGCAAACGAAAACCCATTGCTGTCAAGTCAAATTCTGACTCAGTAACCCTATAGAAGAGGGTACAACTGCCCATATGGTTTTTTTTTGTTTTTTTTTTATTAGGATTTGGGTGAAGATTTACAGAGTAAATTCACTTTTCATACAGCAGTTCACATATACTTTGTCTCATGTCATTGACCAAAATTTA